ATTTTTATGGGACTTACTGTAAAGGAATACAGAAAGCACAGTCCTTACCAGTATCTAAATCCAGTTGGTGAGAAAGGTAGTTCTTCTCCAGGAAAACTAGGGAATGTTTATCATATGATGGAACTACTGTAAGGCCAAGTCTTTGCTGGTTTCTGAAGAGTGCAGCGTCTTTCAAACTTGACTGAAGATTTTTCTACTGATACAGCAAAAACTTTATCATTGAACTTTGACAAGGGGAAAAAGAAATTCTGAAGTCGGAACAGATCCAGTCTTGTTAGCGTGCACTGCACCACTTATCCCAGGCAGTCCAATCCTTACACGATTTACAGGCCCAGGAACGTTCCCCTTCCCCTCGTTTTAGGATGCTGGGATCTCCTTTCTGTTGCACTGACCCTATTAACAACAGAGTATCATTTGCTACAAACTGTTAAGCTTGCTTTTGTGGTCCTGGCCCTTGATCTTTGGGCTCCATGTAAAGCTTTATTCCCGCCCTAAGCTTCTACAAAACTCTCTCACACAGGTTTTGCTAGCTTTGGCTTTCTCTTAGCACAGCCGAGAAGGGATTGCCTACGCATTTAGCAGGACACGTGCTTCACTGTACCTTTCTTGGGAATCAAAGAAAAGAAAAAGATGCCGACCTTCTGTTTAGTAGGACACATGCCTAGTCTCCTTCAGGGCACCCATATTAACCCAACATGTTGCTTTCAGAAACAACATAATTGTGGACAAATAAGAATGTTTCTGATCAGGAACTGTAGGACGTGCTGCCATTTCTGATCCACAGAATTCAAATCTGTTAGAGCTAAAGGAAAAGCAGGAATTACCCTTCTTTCTCGGGCAGAAGACCTTGAAAAGCAGGAAGAAAGCTGAGAACATGTGGGCACGGGAGATGGTTGTGCACTGTGGCAGACACTGTTCCTACAGCACCTTTTCTGCCACTCCTAGGAGTTTTTTTATTAACCAAAATGTTACTCAGATTTGTGCCAGCTCTATTCTGTGAGAAAATAATCTTGTGAAGGCATTTTCATATTCAGGTGACAAACTTGAGATGGCAGCAGATTATACATAAACATTAACATACCCTCATAGGACAGGAATTTTTGTAATCACAACTTCAGTGAATCTGCCAGAATCCAAGCTCTTGACTATATTTTGATTTAGTAAAACCATATGGTAATGAAGAATTCTAGCACTATTTCTGCAACAGGAATTTAATATTTAAATTGCACACTCTTCAGAATGTGGCTGCTGGGACGTCACCACAAACAAGAAGCATTAGGAGTCTGGTGGCTTGTTTTGTTAACAAGAAAATACCTGATCAAAGTTGCTACCTTTCTGAGAGAACAGCAAGGGATGTGATCAAAGTGCCTTGGTGAACATATATGAAGAAATTTGCACTAAAAATAAATAAAAGTAATTCTGATTTGCTTCTTGAAAGACACAAGCCAACACTACTGCATTTTTTTTTCCTAAAAGGATATTTCAGAGCTTCTATATTATACCTAAATAAACCTTAAAAAGGAAAATTTAACTGAAACTCACCTGCACAGCCAGTGATTGTATGAAATGCCACTCTCATATCATCTACATGGATTTAGTTGATCTTTGCGAAGAATCCTGAATGGAATGAGATAGTCTAAAAAAACCCAAAGCCAGCAGGAGCACTACAAACCTGTGAGCAAGCATCCCTGCTCTGTTGACTCTTCTGCAAGAGGATACTCAGTATTATCAAAGTGTAAGCAATTGTGTAAACACTACATAAAAGACCAAACCTTGCTGGAATAACACTGGCATTTATGGAGCCTTTTCCATTGAAAAAAAAAACCCAACAACTCTGTTTGCCAGAGGAATCACCCCCTGTACTGAATCGACCTCTGTTGCTAAGGGACAGGTTATTTTTCCTTGCCTGCCATGCCTTCAGCCACTGAAGTGTTTGAGACTGGCCCTTTTCTCCTTCAGTCTCAAAGGGGAAGGCTCTCAAAGGGAAGTGCCTATTAAAGATTAAGCTGCTGTGACTATCTCAGAAGATGGGATTGATCTGTTCCGGATCTAAATCTGGGTATGGCGCTAGCTGCAGCTCAGCACAGCTGCAAGAAGCAGACTATCACACTGAAAGAGATACAAGATTCACAAACCACTTAATGCATCCTTAATGATATACAGAACTAAAATTCAGATAAATGAAGTTGGTTTTTGAAGCTCTGGAAAGGACACGAAGATCATTAGAAAGTTTTTTCCCATTAAAAAGTCTTTTCTTATTGTGCAAGTTCTAAAATGTGACGTCCTTCTGATTCATACTTTGTTGATTTTTCGGTGTGGACTTACTGAATACTCTTCTTCCCATTTCTGATTCTTCTATCAGGAGATGTCCATGGTCTTAGAGACACATTAAGTATAAGAAATTTAAGTTCCAGAAAAACTACTGATTCGGAACAACTAATTTAAGAAATGCATAGACTGAAAATACTCTGATCTTGGGTGGAGTGCAATTTATGACACAGCCTGGTAGTGTTGCATGCTTTGCTGGTTAGCTGTGTTAAATACTGTTCCAGTAGTGTAATCTATGTCATGCAGAGTTTTGAAATGTTTTTTTGAATAAACTGTAACACAATAAACAGAAAAGTGCTACAAAAACGGCTTAAATCTCCTTAAGACACTGCGAAAGTTACGTAACTACCTTTATCGGAGGATGTTTGTGTGGGGACAGCAAGAACAGCGAACCACAGCGTTCTGTCACCTTCCTTTTATTGTCCTGTATCTCCATCCAGTCCCTGGAGTACAGGGGAGGAACAGAAAGCATCTGCTTGCAAAGCCACATATTCCAAAGAAAATATTCCATTTCAGAAAACTAGTGGCAGGAGACTTCATACAAGTGTAGGGTAATAAGGCAGAGCTCAAATCTTTTCCCTGCGCAGCACCATTTAGTTAAGAAAATCCATGGAATCACTAAGGAATTTCTACTATATCAAGTATTGCAAAGATTTTTGGAAAGGTACAGCAGAAGATGCAGATTACAAACAACTCACAGAGAACAGAGGAGAGTTTATTACAGTGTCTTACAAGAGCTCTTCTTCTCCCTTACTCCTAGGATTACTGTAGGAAGCTTGGGTTCGAAGGCAACGTGAAGTGGAATAGTTTTTACACTACACAGCTCTCCATGAGGAGATGAAATCTCTTCCCTATGCTCTAGTTCTCACCAGGTGCTTCCACTTACAGTGTTTGCAGCAGTCTGTCAGAACAGCTTAAGAGGCTGGGGCAGCGCTCACCGCTGCTCAAACCATCCACTCTTTCACCCTTGTCCTCGGGGAAGAGAGCTGTCATCTCCCTTCTGGTTTATAAGTTAACTTACAAGAGATATAAAGAGAAAATAAACGGGTTTGCAAGACATAAGTGATTAGTACCGGCTTTCAAACAGAAACATATGGTACCACTGTGTCACATGGCCTATCTGATGTCCTGTCCCATTTTAGCAGAGCTGTTCTAAGTCATCAAACATCCTTGGGAAAGCTGCAGGAACGCACCTTCAAAGCAGACCCAGTGCTCAGGTCCTTCACATGTTAACAGGATTGCTCATGTTATGCAAATACTAAACAGTTCTTAAAAAGAAAATATTTGCTGTAACAACTGCAAACAGTGAAGTCTGCTAGCCGTAGCTACTTAAACACAGAAATTTAAATGGCCTCCATTCCTGATCTCCCTAGATCAGGGTCACTGCGTTCTGGCAGGTGGCGCTCTGGTTGTCCAACAGTTTCTACAGCAGCTCCCGCTCCATAGGAACACACACAAACTCCAAACGCAACAGGCACAGATGAAAACTTAAAAAAAGAAATAAAAATAATCAAGATGAACAGAAACACATCTCACTTCAAGCAGCTTTATAATGCAGGAGTCTGATTAAAGTGGAGATAGTAAAACAGGCAGCAAGACCGAGATGTGACAGTCACTTTTACCTCTGCTCACATGACTGCATCGAAGGCACCCGATGAGCTTTGAGCCAGTTCAGAAGCTGTCCTTTATCTGTGAAAGTTCAAGTCAATTGTGCTTTGAATAAATACTTCTCTGTAGTTACACTCGAACTGCTGCATTATATACTAGAAATACAGAAAGTGTCCATGCACAGCCCTGAAGCACTTTGAGTATAGCCCTTGCCAGGTTAACTCATGGACCACAGAAGTCGGAGGCATCACCAGCACACACAGATGGCAGGCACACTCCCACAGAGACACGGCACCCAGAGAGCTCACTGGCCAAACGAAGAATCAGAATGGAAGAAGGATGGCAAGCAAAACTTGCTTGTAGGAGTTCAGCATTCAAGGTTAACTACTGCAGAACCCTGACCAAGCCACTGTAAGAACCATAGGAGCCTCTGCTAGGACAACCTCACTACTCGAGGTCACAGCTGGAGTCTAAGAGGACTCTTCAAGAAATAATTCAGACAGCAGCTGAACTAGTTCTTAGTCATTTGCCTTGTTATGCATTGATGGTTGTCACTTTACTCATTCTTAAAAATCCTTTCCTTAAGCTTAAACAGAAAAAAAAAACAAGGAAAAAAAACCAAAAATCCAGTGCTTAAGACAGAGACTAGCAACTGAATTTGGTAAGGCTTTGGGCTGACTCTTCCTGGAGCACAGCACTGCTTATAACCAGTGGGCTTCCCAGTGCCGTCGGCAGCACGCTCAGTACAGCGGAAGCTGTACGGATCACAGCAACCCTGAGGTAATAAAAGTATAAAGGAAGAGATGGAATAAACACGAGATATGTATGATAATCTTGCCACCTAGAAGAGATTCCGAGAAAGACACTCTTGCTAATTACACAACAGGAGCAGCAGTTGGAAAAAAAAAAAAAATAAAGTCAGTATATTTCAGTTTTTCCTTTTACACACACACTCCCCTTAATGGTATCCGTGCAGGCTTCCCTGCAGAACCATCACTAGTGTTAAAAGTCACATCTTCAGACTTTCTTTCTGTCTGTACAAAGTGCTGTTGGAATTGATTCTGATCTGCCAAACTGACTGCAGAGAAGCCAGAAAGTCTTCCTTTCCCTTCTGCCTAAGTCACCTCATCCTAATTTCCCTCCCTCCTAAGAAGTTTGTTTTCCAAATTAAAAGCCCTAATTAGGCATGATGGACTTGCAATTAGTTTTGTCATCTTCTTCCGAAGAGAAAAACCCAAACAAAAAGCAAAAACAAAAACACACAATCAATGCCTCACCCACCCCAAAAACAATAGTTCCATTTAAAAAAATAAATAAATAGTGTGTATATTTCATGCTGAAAAAAACAAAACCAAAAAAAAAAGTCACAGAAAGGATTCATTTTTGGTTTTCCCCTCCCCCGAACATGACACCAGGCATTTTCTCCCCCCTCCCCTGACGTAGACACGATGGTACATTCCAACCGGCAATGTGCATCTGTGTTGAAAATGAGTTTCTACTCCGGCACGGTCCCACATGCATCAGGGAGCATCCAGCTAGCTGCTAAAGCAGAGCAAAGGCTTTCAGGTTTTGGGTATGGTCCCTGCCTGTTCCTTTGGTCCATCTGTTAAAAGGCTCCTTGCTGCTCCCAGGTCTCTCTGCTCTTGTCTTGTCTCCGTTAAAACGTGCACTCTGGTCCCCACGCTTGGAGTCACTGGAGCTTCGTACCCAGCTTGCGCTGTCTGTTTCTGCAAAGGCAACACGGGGCAGGGTCAGAGCGGTGGCCCCGGCTCTAGGGCAGGGCACCAAGGCAAACCGTCAGGCAAAAGAGCTGGGGAACGAGGGGAAGGCTCTGCTTTGCTCCGCGCAAAAATACAACTGCCCCCGCCGCACTCTTCAGGGAGCTCAGTCTCTCCAACTCTTTACAGTCCTGGCACACCCACTGTGTCTTAAGTGGGCCACGTGGGTGCAAAATTATAAATGCTTGCTTAACAAAAAAGAGTAGGGAGCTGAAATACTATTTAAATTAAACATTCTTTAATCCCAAACACTTCCCAGCAGACTCACCTTCCAGGTGTGGCAGTTAACCTACAACTTGCTATTTCTTTACTCTGCACTATCCTACCCACAGCAGCTATCCTACATATTAGAAAATAAATTAATACCTACATATCAGAAAATAAATTAATAACTACATCTGACAAGTCAACCCAGCTACAGCTCCTCCACCTCCCAGTAAAACTTACCTTGCCTCTGCTCTCGTGACTGTGTATTCAAACCACAGGATGTTAGGAATGAGGCTGGTATCTCGGATTAAAAAGAACTCTGAAATTGGCCTGCAAATGGACAAGGTGGTGGGAAGGGGAAAATAATTTCAGATTTTTTTGCCCCATCACAATTTTGATCAAAACAACCCAAAACATCTGGCACAGATTTTGTGCTTAACACTATTCCCTTATATTACCCTTCAGGCTGGGAAAAGGACTCCGTGTTATTTTTAATCAAAAACCTCTTTTTTTTCCTTTCCTTATAAAATATTTCCAGACTTTATTACATTTAAATGGCTTTCCAGTTTTACCAAGTCATTAAACATTCATGACCACAGATCTGTTCTGCTTGAAAAAGCTTTTCCAGCGCTCTGTCACACCTCACGACTTTAGAAAGACTTTACAAACCTAACGGTCACTTCAATTCCCTTTCCTTCCCACCCACATCAGGCAAGGATATATGATCCTTTGTATATGCATGCACAGGAAAACATGGAGGAACAAGTAGGTTACACAACAGTCAGTGTGCGAAACTGGAACAGAACCCCGGAATTCCCATTTCCGACATCTGTAATTTAGGCGGTTCGTAGAAGTCTGGGCAGCACATTTACAGTCAGGGCTTGCACAGCTACAACTAAAATTTGAGAGCCTGAAGTATCTTTACATACTTACCACGCAGCTATCCTTGGGAAGAGAGGAGTTAATACCTCTTGTGTGAAGCCAAACCACACTACAGCCATTACACTTCCCGCTACACCTCCATATAAGACTTGGCTCCAGGTGTGGTAAAGCAAATAAACCCTGCGGTGGAAGAGAAGAGTCACCAGACAGGCTTTAAAACAAGAGGAGGCACGACTCTAGGGCTGATGTGTCACTGGACCCCCAGACGTTCTGAGAAAGTTATCCTCCAGATGTTAAAAGTGGCTATCTTTTTTTTTCATTAAAAAGCTGGGAAAAAAAAGAAAGGGAGGGAAATGGGGAAAACTGTCTTGCCTGTCACAGCAGTTTCAGCTTAGAGCGCTTCTAGTTTGAGCTTAACAACCCTCTACATGCTTCTTCGTGTATCTTTGGATTAGCTGAGGAACTATTACTGTTGGTTCCTGACTTTTCTGAAGTCAGTAACAAAAAAAGTCCCCTCCCAGCCACCAAAGCTGGAGCTTAAATGCTTTTAAGAACATATACAGCCTTTTCTGTTATCATTTTGCTGCTCTCAAATGTGGCAGCATGGAGGTTGCACTGCCACAGTGTGTTCCCCGTGACTGCTGCCATTCAGAAAGGCCATTAATGGTCTGTTAAAGTATCCATGAACACGGGCTAAGACCATCTTATCTGACCCTCTGCCTAGCACAGGCCACTGGATTTCCTCATTTTTTTAATTTGCATTAGACCATATATCTCTCATGAAATTGTCCTGTCAGAATTTAAAAATAACCAGTAATAAGCAATCAGCTCTAGTGTACAGTGAGCTATGCCAACAGGTAATTGCGTTCCTGTGGAAAACGTGGCCTTATTTCTATAACTAATTTGTCCAATTTCCAATTGCTGGAGCTCATTTTATATGTGTGTGCACACCTAGATACGTGTATTTTTTTTTAATCTGCTACAGGGAGAAAAATCATTATCAAAGTTTCTTTTTTCTTTCTTCATCTTAACACAACTAAATTTTTGCAAGTCAAAAAGCTCTAAATGTTTTTACTAACTAAACGCTCAAGCAAAACAATCCAACTGATCAACTGTAGCAATCCACATGCTGCAGATGCCGGTGTGCCGAGGCATGGCGCAAGGCTTTCACGATTAGTGCTGGAAAGAGGGCGAGGCAGCGAGGCTGGAGCGTGGCAACGGAGCCGATGGGGAAATCGGCACAAGCTCAGCTGATCTTGGGTCTGACAAACACTTCTGTGAAGCGCCACACTTGTAGCACCTCTGCGTATTTGAAGGGTCTTGTGGCAACACAGCAATATCTGCAAAGCTCCGACTTGTACAATGCGGTTGTCAAGAATTAGTTAAGAAATAAGGAGAGACGCGTCTGCTGGCTGTTGGAGGCCACAGCACTGTATGAGAGCACAAGACAAACGATTGCTCCATACCTACTATATGAGACTAGCAAAGCCACTGTGACGAGGCAGATGGACAGCACATGTCGCCATAGTAAATCCAGAAACCTCGCATTGTTTGTTTGGTGCATTCTGAAAGAGATGGAGAGCCATTAGCACAGTGGCAGGGAGCCGAGCAGTCCTTATCTCTGTTCTCACTATCTCTGAAACCCTAGGGAAGCTCTACTCCAGTGGGGTCACGGGCAGCTCGATACTATCCCAGCAGCAATCTGTCCCACTGGCAGCAGTTCCAGAGAAGCCAGAAAGCCACACTTCCCTCTCTCTCCAACAGTTAACGGGGACTGCTGTGATGGAAGGCGGAATGCTCACAATTACTGCAACTGATGTGAAAGGCAGATGCCGAGCGTATGCAACAGGGAGCCAAGACATCAGAGTCCCTCCATCGTGCACAAAGCGAGGAGGAACTGTGAGTTTTGTCTTCCTCCACACGTGGAGCCACAAGACAGAGCCATGCCCCAGCGAGAACTTCAGAAAAGCACAGCACAGCATGTAAAACCAGTACTTGCTAAGGGAGATGAACTAAAAGGTCATGCAAGTGGGCAGCAGGTATTACCTAAAAGACTGCGCAAAACCCCACCGATGAAGCTGAGTAGACACATGAGAAAGCAGCTCTTCTTTCCAAAAAAAAAGCTTCCCTCACACTTACAAAAAGCAAATCAGGAGACCTGTACCCAGACAGGCGCAGGAGGCCCACCCAAACCCTTCAGTGTTCAGCAACGGTAACTACCATCCTGCGTTCAGATCGAGACAGACATGCTTCATCCACCCTAGCCAGAGGAAATTGTGCAGTTCCTCAGCTTTAACTCCAGCACGCCACCAAAGCGGCACGCAGCAAGGGAGCCATCTATTTCAGGTGTTTCAAACATATTAACAGCCAAAACCTGACATTGCATTTTTACCTTAAATAAAGGAACAGAAAGGAATAGACAGAGAAAAACCACATGAATTGGGAGTGGCTGGACGGCATCCCATATTTTGTGGTCACTGTTGAATGGGCTTCTGGGAAGAGAAGAAGAAAGAGTATGGTCAAGGTCCACTCTGTACGTAGCAGCTGGGATGTTCCAGGTGTGAAGCCAGATCGCTCTGCTGGAGTATGTGCACGGGAGTGAGCAGAGACGTGTACCGTGAACATGGCTCTACCAGCCTCCTTACACCCAAACATCCAAAGCCAACATGAGGCAAAGGGGAAAATACCCTCTAACCCCCCACAGTTAGCGTTCCACTCAAAACTCAACTGCCACCATGACACCAACAGGCCATACCGTACCTTCACAGGGCCGAGGCTCCTGGATTACATTTTTCATTAACCAGTTCACTCCTTCGTTGAACGCCAGCCCTCCCAAGAAAGAGATCTGTGAAGGCAAGACAGCTGTGTCATCCGATTTAAAAGATCCATCTACTTACCAGGCTCTGTTGACAAAACCCCAAACCATATGTTTCTAATTTTCTTTTTTGACTACTAGAGTTAAAACAAATGGCTTCAGAATTCTCTGCCTGAGGAAGAAAAGCATTTATTTTTCAGCCTACTTTGTGTATTTGGCAACACATTGTGTATATGCAGCTTTTCAGCTGATAATATACAGAAAGAGACAAAAATGACACTGCATAGCAATTCTGTTAGCATTCTTCCACAAGCAAGTGTAGAAAATTATGTATCTTAACAGGGCAAATTTTAAGGGATTTTCTTTCCCTGATGACCAACAGGGGGAGTGCACACACTTTTATTGGAGTAAAAAGCTTTAAAAAAAGGTGACTTTTTTAGGCTTTCTGGCTTTTCCCTCTATGAATATTTCATCTTGAAGTTAACGTCTTCAGTCCAAAATGAAGTCACATTCTGAACCAAGCCAGACTGGTAGGCATTTATTTTTACTCTTTAATTCCATACTCCATACACCTCTCCTAAATCAGTCTTGCTGCTGTGATCAAATTCCCAGCTGGTGACGATACTCTGCCTCCTTAACATTCAGTCCCATTCCAGATGATGAAGCCATTTTTCACTCCTATGTCCTGAGCTACGGGTCAGGCTGCTGCAAGCCAGCGAGCGTCGCTCTCCAGCTCAACGGTGACTCCCCACATAAAGAACTGAGAATCAACCTCAATGCCTGTCTCGTTATCAACATCTAACAAGCCCCTGCATTCAAAAACATACAAATTTGTGAAACAGGTGCTCTAGCTCATTCTCTGTTTTGGGTCAACAAGAAACCTTTGAGGTGCTGAAACTGCAGCTGCCTCTCCCAGCTAGCATCAGCTTAATAACCTGGAAGTCCTGTTCCCAGGTCCCTTGAGCCTCCTGACACCATGGCCCTATATTAGAAATCTGCTGCCAAAATCCTTTCATTGGCCCCTATTTTATTTGAGGGCAAATGTTACAAAAGGTTTATACCACCTGAAGGGAATTCACCCACAACACTGCTTCCCAACTACCCTTCAGAGCAGACAGAAAGCATTATGTTCCACAAAAGAGTCCCTTGTTGGTCATTTGGAGAGAAGCAAGTCTCTTCTGTCCCTGGTACTTGACTCACAGCTGGGAAGCCATCCTTACAGACAGATCTGCTCCCTTGGGAATCTCTAGGCTTTATTCTATATCTCCTTTTTCTGCCTCAGTTCAAAGAAAGCCCACTCTCCTGAGTTACAGATGCCACCTCCCACATATGCTGCCCATCTTGCCAGAGCCTGCTGCTGGATCTCGGGAGTGTTCCCACTCGGCGACAGCATTCTTGAGTTCCTCAGACATCCCCCTCTTTTACCCTGGGACAGGTCATAAGTGTCTCCCGCACTGTTCTTTGACAAGATCAGCACCTTACCTAAGCTTGCTCTTTAAAGAGAGAACAAAGTGTGAACACAGGAGGACCAGGTGACAAAGGAAAACACTTATGTCAGAAGGTGAAGCTGGGAGGAGGGAAGGACTCACCGTGTGAAGCTCTCTCTTGAATATGATGAGTGTTACAAAGCCAACAATAATGAATATTGGGCCAAGACTCAAATAAGCTAAAAGCTGACCAGAGAAATCACCTAGAGAAACAAATAAGAGAAACAAATCAGCTTGAGCTCCGCAGGTACTTGCCTGCCACCAGCGTGCAGGTCGGCTGATGCCCCGAATCACTGGGAGCAGAGGGGCGAACTCGGCACTGCAGCAAGTCTCCACTTGGCAGCCTCACTGCCTCCTGCTGCTCCAGCCCCAGAGGAGCCCAGGAAGACAGCAGTGCTTGCACGCAGGTTCAAAACCAGGGACAAGGGGAGCTTGGCATCGCTGAGCAGCGATTACTGCCAGCCAATTTACAACAATGACCACGGGTGTGGGCCCAGAGTCGATTTAATCCAACATAAGCACAGGGTGCTGCACAAGAGGCAGCGTCTTTCCCTCCCCCTCATTCATACTGCCTCCCTGTGCCAGCAATTACCAGCAAACGCTCCCCAAACAAATCCTTCCCCACTCCCTCACTAAAAGGGGTTAGTTTTCAGCTGGATCAGCTCCCTAATCTGTCTCACCATGTGTCTGCAGGAACACTAGCATTAGCAAAATGGGGAGGAAATAAATAGCTAAACATAGCAGGAGATAAAGGATAAAAAAAGGAATCAGCTTTTTAACCAGTAGCCCACTTGTATCATGCAGAAGTGACTTTGGGCCTCTACCCCAAATAGCTACTAGTCTAGTTATCCCCCCCAGGAGAATTCGGGAGCAGCAATGGGACCTCCCAAGAGATTATAAGGTACCCCAAAATCTTTATCCTGAACTATCACAGACACAGAAGTAGGCAAATAGGAGTAAAGAGCAGCCGTGTATTCAGAGCTAAGTTTTTCTTGCCTCCGTTCCCTGAAAAAGGACTCATAGAGAAGTGTTTGGGGAGAATATGTCACCATAAATTCTGAGGAAATAAAAAATTATCACAGTAATTTTCCTCCCAGATCAGCAGTTCACATCAGGAGAGCAAGAACGACCCATCACAGAATCTCTGAAGAGAGTAGCCACTACAAAAATGCAGTATGAACCCAGTGAGCAACTTGAAGAGACAAAGTACTTTTTATATCGGTTCTCAGGGACTAGATCTTCTCCATCCCATCACTGAAGACAAAAGGATCAGCCTCCACATAAATTTATCCTTCCTCCTCTCGAAAGGAAACAGGATGCCTCTGCAAGGCTGAGCATTGGACTCATTCCTAGACCAATTCCACTGCAAGATACTGAGTCTCCCCAGCCCACGCGCCCACATTTTAAAACAGCACTTGGCAAAATGGACTTTAACCTCAGCCTCTAAATACTGGAACTGATTTTAAAAAAAAAAAAAAAAAAGTTATTGCAGTGCTACAAAGTTCATCTGCTGAAGTTATTGCCACATAGCTGTGGTTCCATCAGGTACAGCGCACAGATCCCTCCTGAAACTCAGATTCTGGGTTAGATGTGGGAACCTGCAACACCACTGAAATTAGGAAAGGTTGAAGGACAAAATCTGAAGTGAGGTTCTAGTTGGGTTTCAACCTAAAAAGCTTTAGTCAGCCCTGAATTTGAAGCTTTTCCTGCACCGTGTGGCACGTTTGCCTTGCACCAGGCAGGTTCCAAATGCTCTCAGAGCAGAACCGTGATGTATCACGGTAACACCAAGTGGATGGAAGTGACAGCATCAGTTACCTGACAAGAGAGAGTCAATCCCCTTATGGTTTTACATAAATCACAAACTCTCAACAAAATGAATCCTGTCTTAAATGATGAGGGAATTTAGGAGACAAGCCACCAGACAATCAAAACTACCCTGAATTCCCTAGGAATACTTCCCAACAGTCTCAATTCCAGTGTTAGAAACTGAAGATAGCTCAGCACTGAGGAATCACCATGTTTCAGGTCATTCAGTCTGTTAATCCACGGTACATAAAGGCTCAGCCCTTCAAAACTAAAAGCTATAATTTTGTCAAGCAGAAACCAAACCAGATTAGTTATCTTCTCAGGGGGGTTCTATTTCTTGTGCAGATGGTGGAAGAATACTTAAGGAAGTAGCCTCTTCATTTAAATAGCACCAGCAGTACCAAACTCAAGATCCTCGATGATGTTATATAACATACTCCATAAATCAAGCCACCCAGATCTCACCAGCACACAACCCACACTTGAACCTGAGGCAGAGAATCAGAAACCATCGCTCCCAGACACTGCCTGGCAGGCAGGGTACCAAGTCCTTCACTTCTTAACACAAAAGCTCCCCAAACATTTTAACTGTCAACTTTAAATAGAACAGAGATAGCATTAATAATATTTCATAAATTACTGCAGCTAACAACAATCAAACAGACTCATATTCTGAAGGCACTTTTTTTCTAGGGGAGGAGGCAAATAAATGGCTGTGCACTGACTAAGGGCCGCACTTTGGCTGAGCCCTGGGAGCTACACCAGGAGCTCACTAACACCATCATAAATGTACTCGCTAGATGAGC